AAACTGAATTGCACACGGGAGCCTGAATGCATCAATTTAACAGAGTTAGAGAATAATATGACAGTTCTGATTTTTGCTTTTGCTGAAGAGAGCAGTTCAGAAGGCAACTTCAGTAAGCTTTTTGGCCTCAGTTGCTTAACATCCCAGCCACCTGACCTTGCACTTTCAGCAGCTCTTCTGTATTAGACTGACACCTTGGTGGGGGTTTTTCCATGTAAAACGTTTGACTCCAAACACACAGGAGTTTTATCTGAAGTAGGAAGTAATTTAAAATGGCTTATTTTTAACACGGGTAAACATGGTTTACCTCATTGCTGTGGCGTCCATGTAGAATATGCGTTCCTAGTCTCGAGTGATAAGTAAATATTTATTTTGCAGAAGCAGTTTTTCAAAGCCTTGTTCATAAGCTGTCCATTAATCACATAGAGTTCAAATGTGGGTATAGGTCTTTGTTTCAGGAATTTCTGATGTTTTAAGTCACATGTTCATTATATTTTACTTTTACATGGTTTAAAGTAGTGGTTTGTTTTATAAAAAATGGTTTGTAGTGCGTGTATCCTTGAGAATCTTCACCCTCTTCCCATCATTTTAGTCCCTGAATTCGCTCCATTAACAGCCATGGTTTGGACTGAAAGCAGGAGATCAAGTTCAGGTCTTTGCTTCTGGAACTCATCCCAGCTTTCAGCTACACACACTTTGAGTATATTCATTTTGGGGTATTTTGTGAAGAACGCCCTGTACGCAGGCTGTTGTATGCTTCTGACTTTGCCTCAATCCAAGATCAAAATTTAATTTCTTTCACTTCTCAGTAACTGCTGAGTATAACAATTTGAAGACCCAATTTAGACTCTATTGAAGAAAGATTTCTTTATTGGCAGTTTTACAGGAGTAGCGAAAATTGTTAAATAAAAGCCAGCATAGATATAAAAATGAGTGTGACTGAAGTATGTAACAAAAAAGTTTTTGGCAACCTGTTCCTAACATTACGTTGCAAAATATATCTTAAAATTAAATCTTGTACAGTGCAAAATGTCTTGCCTCACACTCCTTGGGAAGGTAAACGTTTCTGTCTGTGGGTATTTCTGAGGATTCAGTGGGAATCCATGAGTTCTGGCAGGTCATTATATATGCCTCGGCGAGTAATTATGAAACTTCCCATCCTGGCTGATCAAATCTAGCTTTCATTTAACAATGCTTTTTGAAGAGTGGCTTGATTGGTCTACATTTAAGCGTAAACTGATTAATCTGGGCTGGAAGCTGAAGAACAGGACAGATAGATATGGCTTCTCAAGGAAGATAAGGACTCTTGAGCTCCCCTGTAAGACGCAGCTGCAATGATGCAACCTTCTGCTGGAGTCAGACTGGACTGTCTCAGCCCCCAGCATGGGAAGCCAGTCAAACTGTTTTATCCTTTCCTTTTCTACCTTTGGCTACCTGACATGCAAAGCCTCCAGCAATTTTCTCCTGGTGGGTAGTCAAGTTTTTCACATGAGGCAGCAGGAGCCTGGCAGTGTACAAACCTTTGAGGGCCAGTTAGGGAAAGCTCATGTGTCAGGAAAGCTTTATCCATTGGGCTGTGTTATTTCAAGCAGTGATGCTGTGATTGCCCCACCAGGTCTCTGGAATCTGCTGCTTTGGCCAGGTCTCCTCGTCAGAACCTCAGCCTGTTTTTTTGCCACGTTTAAAGCTATTCTGTGTTCGTTGTTTCTGTCATATGGTGACTGACATTCACTTGACTTCTTTGCATACTGCTTGCCAAAACTCAGTGTATTTAAACATATATATGTGCTGTGAAAAACTTTGGGTTGCTCTCACTCAACGGAGCGGTTAGCTTCACGTTTAAGTCAACTGGTCACTTCCAGTCAGGAATAAGTTTAGGAGTGTGCTTTAGTCTTGAGTTCTCCAAGGTAATTCTTCAGATGCTTTAAGTCAATCATATTTTTAAATGCTGCATTGACTTGGAACTTTACAAAAAGGAAGTTGGAGAAGAGATCAGAGACAAAACAAATGAAGATGTGGAGTACAGTGGAGATTTGCTTTTAAGTCAACTGGTCATTTCCAGTCAGGAATAAGTTTAGGAGTGTGCTTTAGTCTTGAGTTCTCCAAGGTAATTCTTCAGATGCTTTAAGTCAATCATATTTTTAAATGCTGCATTGACTTGGAACTTTACAAAAAGGAAGTCGGAGAAGAGATCAGAGACAAAACAAATGAAGGTGTGGAGTGCAGTGGAGATTTGCCAGTGCCGATTCGAGGAGGAATTCTAGTTATCTGCATTTTTCTTTTTCTTTTCTTCCCCTCCTCCCCTGCCCCTGAATAGTGTGAATTCTTCAATGATACAGCTTTGACTGCAGATACTTGAGAAGTTCGTGGTCTTGAAGGTACAAGGATCATCCAAAAGACCAGCTCTGCAGTTGTGTGTTTATTCATAGCTCAGATGACAATGTTCTGAGTTGCTAGGTAGATAGCTGGGTGAATGATTTTTTGTCTGCTACATAGTGCAAAAAAGTGAGATGTGTCCCAGTCCTTAAAAAAAAAAAAAAAAAATGCTGATAGAAAATCAAGGCGTTCATTGCAGAATTAAAATGCGTAGCAAATCAATTTGATATTAATATTGTATATTAACCTCAAAATGTAAGCAGACTTGCAATGAAAACCATTCTTATACCAAAACAATACAAAAGCACAAATCTTAAATGTAAAGCTCTGCCTACCAGAATAAGCACCCATTCTGCTGATCTTCTGTTATATTCCTTTTTTTTTCCCTGTCTGATCTATGAGTAATCATCAGTAATGTGGGGAAGTAGGATCATCATCCCCTATCAGGTATCCTTAAATGAGCATCACTGATTTAATTAACACTGATGCTTAACCTGGCATCTTTAGGTTTCAGGTTCAATGCCTCTGATTAAGCAGTGGCCATTCAGAACCCTTATGGATATTACTCCAGGTGCTCAACTTTATCTCTGGAGGAGGGGGTGGATTGTGTTAATCAGTCTACAGAAATGTCCATATATATATGAAAGTCTGGCACTCTTGAAATGAATAGGAGTTTTGCTACTGAGGCAGAAGTTGATGATCTAAGACAGACAAGCTGGAAGTTTGGGGAAGCAACACCATTGCAATGAATTATATTCCCTTCTTCATAGCCATAAAAATAGAATTACTTTTATATGCTGGAGTATGGAAAGAAATAGTACTTTCAGCTTGGAAAAGAAACAGTTTATAGTTTGCACTTAAAGTCAAAGCGCAAAATATTTCCCAAACACAAATTTCAATACATTCTGTGTAGTCACTGTCCTTTCTCTAAAAATACCTTGATCAACAGCAGCAAATCATACAGTTCTTCATGTAATGTAGCATGGATTGTAGGTTTCCAAGGTCAGGTTAGCTCAAAGTCTGTTGGTTGGTCTAAACATACTAGTTGGCCCATGAGGTGCCTTTTGAGTTCACACCCAGTCCTCTATTTCTTAGGACTTCCACAATTCAGTTGATAAACTGTCTGCTTTCAAAGGTCAGAAAGTGCAAAATCCTGCCTCTGAGCACAGGAGAAGGGAGAAGGCAAAATGCCCGTACTCCTCTGGCGAATGCTGTTATAAAGTTGACTGAATTCCTGTGGCACTGCAATGCTGCTGAGATAGCAGATGAGGCACGGATGTGTTCTGCTGGGGACTTAGTATTCCAGGTAAATAGGCAGGCTCAAATTAATTAAAAGAATCAAAGTGATGACTGTGTCTCTTTTCCCAAGCTTGCCTGCCTCTATGTAAACAGGACTCTGGACTGTTTTGTATCAGCATTGAACGTGACAGCATACCTCAGGACATCATCAGTGCCCAAATAACAGGAGTGGTCTCCTTTCTGATAGCAGAGATGGGGTCAGAAAGACAACTTCTGCCTCCAGCATGATGGTGGGGAAGCTGCCGAGTTCGAAGTTTCCAAAAAATTAAAGTTTAAATTAATACTGGGGGAGGCAGGTATGGCCTTGGTCTAGCTGGGTAGCTGTGAGATGTATAGTGACATTATACAAGTCAGGAGCACACTGCTAGTGCTGGTGGTGAAGAGTCAAGTCTGTCACACATGCATGCGTCCTTTCAGCATAAGTGTGTTTATTTAGGCATTTGTTTAAGTTTTAAAAAGCTCTGAGCCTTTGCCAGAGCTGCTGGGCTTTCAGCTGATTTCAAAATCAGTAGGATGATGGCTAAACATGGAGTTGGTTCCTGGTGTTGAAAAAAATCCCCGTTTAATGACTCAGTGTTCCTGCCCTGTAAATGAAGGAAGGTATGAATATTTACTTTCCTGGCAAAAATGTTGCATTGTTAATATCTGTACAGGTCTACTGTATTAAGTATTCTTGTCTTTTTTTATTTAGTGCTGCATAAAAGAGAATTGTGTATGTGGGAGCAGTGGCTTGTCCCAGGGGCAGCAGCCCAGGAGTTCCCTGGTTGGAGGTGTGATGTTAATGCAACTGTGCCTCATGTGCCATTGCTCTGTTTCTTCTAGATGCCTTGAAAGAGGCAATTTTAATCCTCTTAAGTGTTGGTAATGATGTTAAAGCCACATAGGCTTGGCCTGGTCTGTCAGCCCAGGTGAAATACTCTGGAGAGGAAATTCATGTTTATGTGTCTTATAAAACACAACTGAGTCAGGTGTGAAGTGCTTAGTTCTAAGGATAGCAAAAGGGAACAGTGTATAGTGTTACGTAGCATTTCTCAAAGTCTGTCTGAAACTTTGGACGCGAATTGCCAAGGGTGTGGCGTTATTTTATTACCACTTTTGGTTCCTGGACTCAGTGATATGCCCAGTCTTGCTGCAGTTTTTGATGGAAGTAGGATCTATCCTGTAGCCTTTAGATCTTTCATTTGGCAGTTACTTGTAGGCTTTTCTATCTTGCCACTTCACCTTTTTTTTTTTTCCTTGGTAAACAAGTGAACATTTTATCAGCAATTTTTCATGTTGTGAACTTAAGCTCTTGAATTTTTATCTTGTTTGTTTGTTTATTGCAGCTGGTGCACAGGATAAAATTGGATGGGCATTTGGCTTGGGTTTGGAGAGGCTGGCTATGATCCTGTATGATATCCCTGACATCCGACTGTTCTGGAGTGAAGATGAACGCTTCTTGAAGCAGTTTATTGTGCCTCACGTTTGGCAAAAAATAAAATTCCAGGTAAAGTAATTATATATATATATATGATAATAATTTTCTGCCAATAAGAAGTGTGTCTAGCCCTACAGAATATCACATAATTAAAATTCTGTGCCATTAACAGATTAGGTTTTAAAGCAACCGCTTTCCAGCTATCATGATTTTCTGATATACTGCAACAAAATCCAGCTTTTGATGATAATATTTTTTTCAGCCAGATAATGTTGTGAGTTGCTGCTGATACCCAGTGAATAGCTCTGTTCTGAGTAATACTTAAGCATATATTTATCTTTTAAATTTATCCAGAACAGAGATTGACTTAGGCCTGTGGCTGGTTTGGGTATGTTCTTGAATTGTGTCCATAATTCTGTTCAATTATAAAAATGTTTTTGATGCTGAGCATTCAAATGTTGTAATACATTCCCAATTTTTCCCATTGTTTTACTCTACATTCATTGAAATCAATGCGGGTTGCATTGTCAAGCTTCAGCAAAATGCTTTGTGAATGTGCCTTGCCATCTTCTATGTGTCAGCTCTTTCTTCCAGGTGAAAGCGGGGGGAGAGTACAGGCTCAGCTTGTATTTCTTTTGTAACTCCTCTACTGAGGTGATTTTTGTAGTTGGAAACCTTGTCTTTTGTAGTTGCAAAGTAATCAAGCATAACTGGTTTGAGTGGAAATGCTACTTCCATAATATGCTTCAGCATGAGCACGGGAAGGTTCAAGCCAGCTGGTATGACTGGTCTTTGGGGGAGTTGAGCTGAGATAGCTCTGTAGATGCTTGACGAAGTCTGAAGTACTAAAGCAGCAAAACACTTTTTCCTGCTGCCTTTTGCCATTTTCCTTGCTTTGTGAACAGCTTGATTATCTTGTATAAGAATTGAAAATATGAAAGGGGAAATCAACAGTGATAATGCTCAGATAATATTTGAGCAGTCTCCAGATCAAATCAGCAGCAGAATCCATTTTTTAATTCATGGCAATTCTGGCACATCTCTGGTAGAGTCAAAAAGTCAAAATGGTGTTTGAATGGGTTTGGGAGGTAGGCTGGGTTTGTTTAGCTGGGATTTTGTGGGCTTTAGTTTGGTTTTTTGTTTGGGGTTTTTTTCTGGTGATACTGGCATTGAGGTATTCAGATTGTGGTTATCACAGAGAGAAGACAAGTTTTTGCCACTGTTCCTGAAGGTGGGTCTACCTATAGGTTTCCCTGATCTCCTACAGAATGTTTGTTGTTCTTTTCAGTAAGGAATGCTCAAGTCTCCTTCTTTCAGCCCATATTTTTCTGACTGGCATTGCTCCTGAGGAGCACAGATTGTGGCTTGATTTATAGATTGCAGTCTGATCTCTGGAACTAAGATGAGATTTCTTGCTTGCTTTAAAATTGTGGATCCAAGCCTCAAACTGATATTAGCAGTAGATTGGGTTTTTAGGGAAAGGCCCAGATTGTCAGAATGATATGGTCTGATGCTGAAGGTGAGCCAAAGAGAGGGCTACGTGTCTGGCTTCTCTAAGTTGCCTATCACTTCCATGTTCGGCTTCAGATAGAGTCAGGTGTAGTGAACTGATCTGAAGATGACAGAGTCATAGATTACTGTGGATAAGCTCAGAGGAGAGGACATGGTTTCTAGCAAGCTAAAACTGAAAGAAATATTCCCCACCCCACCCCTTTATTTGGTGCTGTTTGGTAACCTTAGCTGAGCAGGAGTCACTGGAAGCACATGGTTTTGCACTGTTTTGCTGGGTAACTGTCTGTGTCGTCAATAGGAGGGTGGTGACAAGGTCTTGGTAGGTCTTTAAGCATTTCTTCTTGCTGAGCAGTGTTGGTTTCAGCTGGCATTGGCTCAACTTGGAACAAGGAGAAAAGTTCTACAACACAGAACTGATGTTGTAGGGAGAGTCATGAGGCTTGCTGGCTGAAATATATTTTGAAGTCATAACAAGAATCAGGAGGTATGATGCAATAGATGGGGGAGTTCAAGGAAGAGAAATTGTCAGCTGCCACTGTACTCTAACATGGACCAAAGGGAAAGATGGGAGTAATGTTATGGGGCCATTACCTGCTGCTTTATCACATGAATATGCTGGCAGTTGTCATATCCCAACAAACAGGCCACTGAGAAGCATACAGGTTGGGAGAATGAGAGGTCTGGGAGAGGGCAGCAAAGGTGGGACAATGGATTATTTTCAATCTCTTCTCTCTCTCTTCTAAAGAAAGGAGGTGGCCAATGTTTTAGAAACAGATTTTTGCTTTGGTATCAAGCAATTGTTAGGGACCTTTTTTTTTTCCTTCTTTTGTTTTTTTTTTCACCCTTTCCATTTTAACACATACATACACACACCCCACTTGCATGTCCCATCTTCAGTTTTGGTAGCATAATTCTCCCTAACTCTTAGTTTATATTTTTCAACTCTGTCTCTGAATATAAGAGACTAGAGGCAAGCTTGGCTGTTGTTTTAAAGGCCTATATCCAGCTTTCATCTGGTATCTTACATTGAGCTTTTTCAAGCTCAATACTGTATGTATTTCTAGTACATACTGCTTTTTAAAGGTTTAATGGCTCTTCGAATGCTAATACTGTGACATAATCTTTGGTGCTATCAAAAGACCTCGGGTGACAGGAGTTAGTAAGCCAGTTTTTCTTTCTTTCTGTTCTGTGTTATTTTTCAGGTATGCTGCAAAACCAAGTTAACAGACCTTATGCACCTGTCTGCTTTCTAAAGAGTCATAATCAATGAATGGCATAGTTTATTCATATCATATTTGAAAGAAAACTTTTGTCCTGTCTTCCAGTGTTGATGTTGTACGAAATCTCAATGGATGTTAAAAAAGCGTCAGATTTTCTGCATGCAAGGCCATGCAGTACTTTTCAGCCTGACTGAACTGAACCAAGAGAGACCAGGTGTTTTGAGAGCCTTTCATTATACAAATTGAATCCTGCAGCCTCAGAAGGCCTGGGTAAATGCCCATCCTTTATGTGCTTAACTGAGATAGACCTCTCAACCTTTGGACACTCCCCCCATCCTTTCTTATAATCTGAATATTTTCCATCAACATAAATATTTTTCCTTCTGTTCAATAAAATTTTCTTCAGATATGTGAAGTCCACACTACTACATAGCAGTAACCTTTCATAATAGCTGGGCTAAATATACTCTTGTTCAAAAATGGAATTTAGTTGGAGCATTTTCTTAGGACTCAAAGTGTATGTTTTGTGCCTTTTAACAGCCTGAATGTGTCAGACTTTTCCCTGTGTCATCAGTTGCTCAATATACACGTGCAGGCTTCAGTAGGTCAAAAAGCTGCTGGGAAAAGCTGACAGTGCTTGTACCATTGTGGCCACTCAGCACAGCAGTGTTAGAATGCTGCTCCCCACAGATCAGATTATTGCATTGATTTGGATTACCAAATCGCTCTAGCTATAATTTGACACAAGTCACAGCAGTGCTGGGGGATCAGAGGCTGGTAACTTGCTTTCAATCACTTGTGTAGGGCTTCTGCTCAGACTGTGAAATGAAAGGCTGAGGATGGACAGGGCAGGAAAGACTAAGCACCTGCAAGGTGTAATGTAATAAAACAAATGGCTTGGATCTGATCTAGCGCACTGTGGTACACCTGTGTTCATCGGGACTCTGAGCGTAGTTGCATGTAATCGCTTTCCGGTTCATACTGAGCCAGCATTCTTACAAAAAAAAAGATGTGTCCGTGGGCTGACAACTCTCGAGAAAAGGTACAAAAATGAAATGACATTTAGGGAAGGAAGGCACTCACAGTTCAGATGAAGTGCGGTGTGCCCAGGGGTGTTGATTAAGACGAACGGGCTCTGGCAGCAGGATGGTTCCTGGAACCTCCATCATTTCGCTGCCACGGTGAGCAAGCGGCATGTCATGTCAATTGACTGCTGATGCATTCCCTCCTCACAAAGTCACTTTCATTTGATGCTGCTGGCAGCTGTAGCTGCTGTTTTTTAAAATAATTATTTATTTCAGTTGCAGATGAGCCTTGTGGCCTGGACTGAGGTCAAGCAGAAGCATTTTTATGCTGTTCTAAGGAAAGCACTGGTACAGAGGGAATCTGGATCAGATTCCTAGCTAAACTGAAGATTACCTCTGAAATTATGGGAGTTGCTTTCTTCTTCTTTTCCTCATTTCCGTAATATCTGTAATATTCTGCAATATCTGCAATAAGCCTAGCACCACCTACTTTTTACACCCTCCTTTCTATCATCTCCAGGGACCGCTCCTTCCTTGTATCTGCTTGGCACGTGCAGTCTCCCCAAACTCAGTTCCTTCATAAATAACCTGCTAGCTTCAGTACTCAAAATAATAGACTCGCTAACCAGGATTATTCTGATGCCACCAGGATAGACAAAGCTCTTAGAGCAGCTCTGCTGGGGAGACCTGAGGAGCCAATAACCTTTGGCAGTGAAATGAGGAGAGTTGATAAGCAGCTTGAATTGACACTGTTCACCACCTGCACAGCTGTAGCCAGCATGGCATATGTGGCCCTAACCTAGAAGACTGTCTCTGCTTTGGAAAGTGAACAGTTGAGGTTAGCAGAGATGAGAAAAAGTATATCTTCAGACAGCTGTAGTTGTGTGGAAAAAAGTGATTTTGTTATACGGGAAAGGAAATCAAAGTGGGCTTACCTTTCTCCTGTGCAAGATAGCACAGGCTGGGCCTCACTCATTCCGATTTGCCTTTGCTCAGTGTGCCACAGGAATTAAGCCCCTATTCTAATGACAAAGGATTTATCCAGTAGCCCAGTTAGCACTATTTGCTACGTATGTGAGCCCTCTTGTTCGCTCAGTTACACCGTGCGACTTTTTTACCTTACTGTGCATTTTCAGTTTTCTGAGACAGTTGTTATCCCTGTGCATCTTTCCTATGCACATACCTGATTGTTGCTGGGAGGCATATAGCTTGTCCTGAAGCCTTAGAAGATGCTGAAGATGAAATGCATTGGTAGGTCCAAGGGGAAACTTTTGCAAATTAAACCATCTTAGTCTATATCCTTTATTCCATG